AATACTTCAATCCTCAAAAATATACTTGAGGCTGAACAGGAAAGAACCTTTTGTGCTCGTATCACTTCCACATCCCCAACACACAAACGCACCAGAGGGCCAGCCGTCCAGGGCCCCAGCCCCTCCTTCCTCAGACCCAGGAGTCCGGACCCTCAACACCCCTCCTCTTGCACGAATCTAAGCACACGAATCCTGACGTTGCTACCAGACCCCAGCTAGACTTCACTTTTCCTTTGCCAAAGCAAAAAATCCTCCCCCAAACTGTCACCCTCGGATCCCCCTTCCCGCAGTCCGGCGTCCGGGCCCGCCCCCCCTCCGGTCCCTCCCACTTTTCCCAAACAAAGCTCCCGGGCAACTTTCTCCTTCGCAGCGCCCCGCCCGCCCTCGGCTCCCCAGCCCCAGGCCGGGAGGTAGGAAGGCGGCGGCGGGAGTCGGGGATCCTGCTTTGGGGTGTGTGAGTTGGGGTGGAAAGTTACGCGTTAGGAGTTGAGGTGTGTGGGGGACCGTCTGAATTGCATGACGCCTTTATTTTATTGGGGGGGCTCGAGTTTGCGCTTCTGACCGAGTCTGAATGCGGGGCTGGAAGTTTCGCCGGAGTTGGGGTGTCTGCCGATGCGTCTAAGTTCGGGAGTGTGCGCCCGGGAGTGGGCGAGGGCAGGGAACTCTGCCGGGTATGTGTGGGGTGCGAGTGTCTGCGGCGGTGTCGGTTTGAAGCGAGAAAGGACCCTGTTGTGTGCTTCTGACCGAACTGATTTGTGTTTGTCATTTGTGGGCGCCTGGTCCTCCCCATGGAGAAAGGGGCCTCGAGGGTGGCAGAGGGCGGGCTACAGAGCTTTCTGGATCTTCAGGCTCCTCTCTTGGGAAGTTTGGGGCCTGGGGCGGGAAATGAGGGGGACCTTTCTTAGCCGGCTCCTCCGTCCCTTTGTCTGGCCACATGGGGGAGAGCTGGGCTGGGATTTTGGCCTATGGGGGTCCTGAACGCCGCAGCGCCATTGGACTCGGCCCGGGGTCTTTGTCTGCCTCGGCCAGGACTCCAGGGTCCTAGGGAGGAGGGGGATGGGAGCCTGGACTCTGGGGTCCTGGGAAAGCTGTGGAAGACGTGGAGCCGCCAGGGAGGCGGGATCTGACTGTATTGGAAAAAGTTTTCCCCCGTTCTCGGCCTCCGGAAAGTCACTGGGAACTAGTAGAGTTGGATCCGAGCCCACAGTGCAGGGGCTGGGAGGGGAGGGGCGGG